TGAGGTAGTTGGGCTGAGAAGCGTAAATTTTAAGATTAATAGTCATATTAAAATTTATTGCTATTAATAAAAAAAGTTAATCAATGGTTTCATTTTAATTTTCATCCATTATTTCCATCTAATAAACCGTTAGTTTCATTAAAAGTGAAATTTTACAATGTTTCAGCAAGTATACATAGGCAGGCCCAGTATGGATAAACGGTATGGGTCCCTACAGGTTTTGTCCGTGGTTTTCAAGGTAACTCCACAGTCTGGGTCCCTCTGAAAATCCATGTAGGGCCCATTAAAAGCTGTACATGGGCAAACCCCTTATGGGGCCACCACTGAAACCTGGTGGAAGCCTTATGGTTTGCTCATAAATGTTCCATATGGGGCCCACCGATGTACTGGTCCCAGCTCTCCCAAAGCAACAGGCTGTTTGAAGCTAAAATCAGCTAGGTATGAACATGAGCTCCTCCAAAGCGATGGTTGTTGACAGTAACAAGGTTGGGTTGGGAATGAGTCTGTGCCTTAAGCAGAAGACTTCATGTGTTTTGTTTGTTGGTGTCTAACTTGGGAACAACTTGGGATTCCCCAGGTAGAGCTGAAGTGTCACTGGTCTTCTTCTGTGACTCTGACTTGGATAAGATGTGGAAGACGGAAGGATATGAATAAAGAGTTAAGGCATTCCTGATGTGTGTATTTACTTGATGACTTATCCGCTGTAAAAGATTATTAATGAGAACAAAAAGGACCTCTGGTGCAGTTCATTAATATTGGAGCCGAGTAGCCTTCGGCTGAAGATGCTCCAGTGTTTGATCAGCATAGAGGGCATCCAATGCTGTCTTTTATGCTTAGCTGCTTTTGTAACTTTCTGTTATCATTACGACAAGGACCAAAGAACGGCCTCCAGCCTTTATTTGATCACTTTGTTCAGTTTCTTGGGAGTCTCTATGAGAAGACTGGCCTCTCACCCAAAAACCTTTAAATTTGTGCAGTGTTGCTGCAAACAGTAGTAAACTTGGATATGTCCTTTCTTGTGCACATTTCCAATAATCCGTGTTTGTTTTCACTTTTAAAATGAGGAACTTGTTCAACATAAAGCCATTCAATTACAGAGGTGTGGACTCAAGTCACATGACTTGGACTCGAGTCAGACTCGAGTCATTATTTTAATGACTTCTGACTTGACTTGATAACATTTATTAAGACTTACGACTTGACTCGGACTTGAACGCCAATGAATTACGACTTGAATCGACTTGGATCTGTTGACTTGATGATGACTTGAGCGTATTTGATGTTTTAGCACAAAAGTGACACGACATGGACAAAAATCATAAATTATTCTTCATTCTGGGTTAGATCTTGGTCTGCTGAATGCAGCAGCACTTTGTTTATAATCAGTTTCAGTTTCTGCTTGTTTGAGTGAATAAATGAAGTTTTAAGAAGCTTTATTTCTGGAATGTATTTATTATCATTGTCATTAAATAGAATTTGGACAGATGACTTGATTGTGACTTGAAAATTCAAAGTTAAGAACTTGGAATGAGTTGGACTTCCACATCATTGACTTTGGACTCGACTTGGACTTGGCTGTCTTTGACTTGGACTTGACTCGAGACTTGACTGGAAAGACTTGTGACTTACTTGTGACTTGCAAAGCAGTGACTTGGTCACACCTCTGTTCAATCAACTGACCCACACCTCTGACCTCTCATCCATCCATTTCCATCCACTTTCTTCTGCTTATCTGGAGTCGGGTCGTGGGGGCAGCAGCCTAAGTTGAGAGGCCCAGACTTCCCTGTTTCGATCACATGGCTTCTCCTACCACTGCTATGCAGATGACACCCAGCTTTATCTGTCATTTCCACCGAACGTCTACACTGTCTCTGCACAAATATCAAACTGTCTCTCTGATATATAAAAATGGATGAAATCCCACCATCTCCAACTCAACCTCTCTAAAACTGAACTACTTGTCCTCCCAGCAAAACCATCCATACAGCACAATATCTCAATCCAAAATTACTTCCTATCTCTGGCTCCTTCAAAGGCAGTTCGAAATCTGGGTGTTGTGATTGATGAACACCTGACCTTTAAAGATCATGTTGCCTCTGTTGCTCGTTCATGCCGCTTTGCGCTGTATAACATACGAAAGATCAGACCATACCTAACACAACATGCCACCCAGCTCCTGGTGCAATCTACTGTCATCTCCCGCCTCGATTACTGCAATGCCCTTGTGAGACCTCTTCAAATGGTCCAGAACGCAGTGGCGCATCTGGTCTTCAATCAGCCAAAAAGAGCACACGTCACCCCTCTGTTCACTGAGCTCCACTGGCTACCGCTAGCAGCACGCATCAAATTCAAATTGTTAACACTAGCATACAAAGTCCGAGATGGTACGGCTCCCATCTACCTGAATCCTCTTGCAGAGCCTTACGTCTCGGCCCGGCCGCTCCGGTCATCACAGGATCGTCGGCTAGCAGTGCCTACTCCACACTCACGAAAATCCAGACTCTTCTCATGCATCGTTCCACAAATGTGGAATGACCTTCCAAGCACTACCAGGACAGCGGCTTCCTTTTCAATTTTCAAGAAACTCCTGAAGACCCTGCTCTTCAGAGAGCATCTTCTAAACTAGCACCTTCCCTGCATCCGTCCCCATCTCTACCGTCCACTCCTTTGTTCCCTCCTCTCCATGATTGATGTCAAGTTGTTGTTATTGTTGTTGTTAGCCTCAAGGGCAACATGCCGATTATCACTTGTAAGTTGCTTTAGACAAAAGCGTCTGCTAAATACATAAACATAAACATAAAATCCAGAAGGTTTTGGAAGGCATTTACCTGTATTTCTTATAGTTTGCCATATAAATTGGATTGTTGACAGTTGGGCTGCAACGATTAGTCGACGTTGTCAACAAATATCGACACTAGAAATAGTCAACAGTGAATTTCACTGTCGACGTTGTCGCCAGACGTGTTTTTTCTGACCGAGTGAGACATCTCACTTCATTAAATGATAAATGACCCACACTTGTATAGCGCCTCTCAGATTAAGGACTCCAAAGCGCTTTACACTACAGTATCAATCATCCATTCACACACACATTCACACACGCGCAATAGCTTCCCTGCTGAGCGCCAACTAGCAGAAATGTCGGCGTCCAACACAGCAGCTACGCGTACCAAAACATCTAAAGTTTGGGAGCATTCTAGCCTGGATTCGGCGAATAAAAAGATTACCTGCATTATTTGTGAAGCAGTCCTTGCGTATCACGGCAGCACTTCGGTGATGCATGAACACTTAATGAGAAAGCACGTCGAACAGCTGAACGAAACAGAGTCTGACTCACCTCTGTAAGATTTAAATAACACGAAAGCCAATACGTTTTGTTTTGGATGTACATTTTTTAAACGTATTTTTGCTTTTTCAAAAGAGATATTTAAAGTTATGCCCAACTGTGCCTGACAAAAGTATTTTAATTCTATTTATGCATTTATGTCTATACTGACTGAGCACTGTACCTAATTGGTGTTAGACAGGGCAATTTTATTTACTTTAGTATGAATTGGCCTTTCAGCAGCAAAGTTCAATAAAACATGCATTTTCCATTGAAGTACCCATCTTTCTTGTGTTTATTATCATTTTTCACATAATTAAAGCAATCTCATGCTAAATTTAAGAAAAATTAATTAATTATATGATTAGTCAACTAATCGTTTCAATAGTCGGTGACTAGTCGACTATTAAAATAGTCGTTAGTTGCAGCCCTAGTTGACAAATGTTAAACCTTGTGTAGAAAAGAACTTAATCCTCCCAGTGCTGTATAATTTCATCAGGATACTTTATCTATTGATGGACACCTCCCTACTGTCACAGAACATCATCCAAATCTTAAAATATGGTCCTGAGAGCTGTGTGCTCATTCCGATTATGGATGCTTTGCAGACCCTTAAGAGGTCAATGATTGAAAAGATGTGTCTTAACATTTACAGAAGAAGGTAAAACTATCTATGATTTGGAGCTTGGAACAATTTGAATGTTAGTCCAGAAATCTAGACAAACTATAGCTGTAGGCTTGTCTCTGCGAGTTGGTCTAGTCACGCTCCATTGTAGCCTCAGCAGGACTCCCACTGGCTCGGCTAAATTTAGACCAGGCCAATCACAGCCCTCTAAATCTGTGGAGATGCTGGGCGGAGCTGTGATGGAGCAAAACAACAAAGATGACGGTGGCTCTGATTGGTGCTAGTGCTGTCCAGTTGTGTGCAGAGACAGTTTGAAAGACAACCATAAATTTTGCCTCTATGACAAAGTCTCGTCTATGGATCGTGGCCAGACTTTACATTTAAACAAATAGGACGACTTGCCAGGCTATTTGAATGATGCAAAAACAAACAAAAAAATCAGAATTTAGAGTAAAAAATTGCAACTAAAATGTAACCAGAGATTTTATGGTCTTGTTTAGAATTTTTGCCTTGCGATTGTTAGATTTATTGTGTACTATTACTACTATAAACTACAGATACATTTGAGTATCCGAAAGGGCTCAGTAATAGTTTGCAACACTTAAAAACACAAAAACAAACAACAAAAACATAAATACTTTAGATCCACAAAAGCATAAAACTTGCATGACCCAGAACTTCCAAATGGACCCCACACAAACAAACTCAATATCTGCACGAAGCAGTAATGGATTGTAGGCACGCTCACACAATAGCTCTTATGTAAACACACACAGATCGATGCATTGTCTGTTACTATACTTAGGTCCTCCACTGAAAGTAGATTAAAAGTGGAAAAGGACAAGTTGAGGAGAGAGCAGGACATGCTGATGTATTGCAAACGATCAATTTTAAGAGTGGCTGGACTGGGGAGATAGTGCAGAGAGCTTCTTTGTGCATTTTTACGTCACTATGTGATAATCTGCAAAGTTAAACATTTGTTTGGATTACAGACTAAAACCTTAAGTAGGAGAATGTTTCTGAGTATGCGTGAGTGTGTTGGGTTTGCACCTGGATGATGATGCTCCTGTTGTGTCGTGACATGTTAATGCTGTGTGGTTGTCCATTAGCCAAGTTCCGCTGGTCAACATCTATAGCAAATGGCTCCTTTAGCCCACCTAGGTTGTATCGGACCTGCAGGGAACCTGAAGTGACACAGAAAATTCAAAATTAAGATGATAAAAATAACAAAAATAAATAAATAAACAACTATTTTTCCAAAGTCTACATCATCTATAGGTCTTATGCTCTCTTTCTCATTCATTAACCAGCTCAGTGGCCTAGTGGTAGAGTGTCCGCCCTGGGGTTGGGAAATCGGGGTTCAATTCCTGGTCGGGTCAAACCAAAGACTAAAAATGGGACCCAATGCCTCCCTGCATAACACTCAGCTTTTAAGGGGGTTGGATAGGGGGATTAAACCACCAAATAGTTCCCGAGCACAGCCATCGCTGCAGCTCGCCGCTTCCCTCCATGGGGATGGGTCAAATGCGGAGATGAATTTCACCAGTGTGTGATGATGACTATTGGACTTTAACTTTGACTTTAACATTGCCTACCCACTCTGTATTTGGCCACTGTTCAGATATTTTAGTAGCCTAGAAATCTGTCAGTAACAAAGAATTGGTTGGCCTAGCCATGCTCCATTGTACTAAGCAAGTCTACCATTGGTCCCGACAATTTTAGGTTCAGCCAATCACAGTTCAGTGTTTGTTGAGAGCTACTGGGCGAACTTTGCACCAGAGCTGCAACCAAGAACAAAAACAAAGATGGTGTCGGCTCTGGAACAGCACTCATTTGAAACAGCTTTGGCGTCAACTTTGGATGACTTAGACTTTCTTTAAGACACGAACAGATAGAAGCACTTAAGTCCTTCAATTTGAACAGGGATGCATTTGCTTCTTCTTCTTTGTTGATGTATGGTGGACTGTCCTGTGGACAAATTTCCATAGCAGTGAATACATCACTTTATTTAACATTCAGACTAGTTTGCAGACTTCAATGCTCACGTGGGCAATGACAGCATGACCTGGAGGGGTGTGATTGGGAGGAACGGCCCGCCTGATCTGAACTCAAGTGGCGTTTCGTTATTGGACTTCTGTGCAAGCTGCAGGTTGGCAATAACGAACACCATGTTCGAACATAAGGATGCCCATCGGTACACTTGGTACCAGGGCAGCCTAGGTCGCAGGTCGATTATAGACTTTGTAGTCGTATCATCTGACCTACGGCCGTAAGTTTTAGACACCCGAGTGAAGAGAGGAGCGGAGCTGTCAACTGATCACCACCTGGTGGTGAGTTGGATCAGATGGCAGGGGAAGATGCCGCGTAGACCTGGCAGACCCAAACGCATAGTGAGGGTCTGCTGGGAACACCTGGCAGAAGAACCTGTCAAGACGGTCTTCAAATCCCACCTCCGGCAGAGCTTTGACCGCGTCCCGAGAGCAGTGGGGGACATTGACTCCGAGTGGGCCTTGTTCCACTCTGCGATTGTTGAGGCAGCTGTTGCTAGCTGTGGTCGCAAGGTGACCGGTGCCAGTCGTGGTGGTAACCCCCGTACCCACTGGTGGACACCAGAGGTTCAGGGAGCCGTCAGGCTAAAGAAGGAAGCCTACAGGGTGTGGCTGGTCTGTGGGTCTCCGGAGGCATCAGACAGGTACCAAATAGCCAAGCAGGGTGCAGCAGTGGCAGTTGCCGAGGCAAAATCTCGAGCATGGGAGGAGTTTGGTGAGGCCATGGAGAAAGACTATCGATCGGCTCCAAAGAGGTTCTGGCAAACTGTCCGGCGCCTCAGGAGAGGGAGGCAGCAACTCGCTCACACTGTTTACAGTGGGGATGGGGAGCTGCTGACGTCAACTGGGGCTATAGTCGGACGGTGGAAGGAATACTTTGAGGAACTCCTCAATCCCACCTACGCGCATTCTGAGGAGGAACCAGAGCCGGGAGACCTGGGCATGGACTCTCCAATCTTGGGGGCAGAAGTTGCTGAGGTAGTCAAACAACTACGCAGCGGCGAAGCACCGGGGGCAGATGAGATTCGTCCTGGGTATCTCAAGACTATGGATGTTGTAGGGCTGTCGTAGTTGACACGTCTATGCAACATTGCATGGTCATCGGGGGCAGTTCCTGTGGAGTGGCAGACCGGGGTGGTGGTCCCCATCTTTAAAAAGGGTGGCCTTAGGGTGTGTTCCAACTATAGGGGGATCACACTCCTCAGCCTCCCTGGAAAGGCCTACTCCAAGGTACTGGAGAGGAGGGTCCGATTGATAGTTGAATCTCGGATTGAGGAGGAGCAATGTGGTTTTCGTCCTTGCCGTGGAACTGTGTACCAGCTCTATACCCTTGCAAGGGTGATGGAGGGGGCATGGGAGTTTGCCCAACCAATCCACATGTGTTTTGTGGATTTGGAGAAGGCTTATGACCGTGTCCCCAGGGGCACCCTGTGGGAAACGCTCCAGGAGGTGGGTGGCTTTCTGTTAAGGGCCAATCAGTCCCTTTACCAGAGGAGCGCGAGTTTGGTCCGCATAGCCGGTAGTAAGTCGGACCTGTTCCCGGTGAGGGTTGGACTCCACCAGGGCTGCCCTTTGTCACCGGTTCTGTTCATTACCTTTATGGACAGAATTTCTAGGCGCAGCCGTGGTGTGTAGTGTGTTGAGTTTGGTGGCAGGAGAATCTCGTCTCTGCTTTTTGCGGATGATGTGGTCCTCCTAGCTTCATCCAGCTCTGACCTTCAGCTCTTGCTGGGTAGGTTCGCGGCCGAGTGTGAAGCGGCTGGGATGAGGATCAGCACCTCCAAATCTGAGACCATGGTTCTCGACCGGAAAAGGGTGGCTTGCCAACTCCGGGTCGGGACAGAAGTCCTAACACAAGTGGAGGAGTTTAAGTATCTTGGGGTCTTGTTCACGAGTGTGCGTAGGAGGGATCGGGAGATCGACAGGCGGATTGGTTCGGTGTCTGCAGTGATGTGGACGCTGAGCCGATCTGTCGTGGTGAAGAGAGAGCTGAGCCAGAGAGCCAGGCTTTCGATTTACCGGTCGATCTACGTCCCAATCCTCACCTATGGTCATGAGCTTTGGGTAATGACCAAAAGAACAAGATTGCAGATACAAGCGGCCGAAATGAATTTCCTCCGTAGGGTGGCCGGGCTCAGCCTTAGAGATAGGTTGAGGAGCTTGGACATTCGGGAGGGACTCGGAGTAGAATCGCTGCTCCTCCGGATCGAAAGGAGTCAGTTGAGGTGGTTTGGGCATCTGGTCAGGATGCCTCCTGGGCGCCTCCCTGGGGAGGTGTTTCGGGCATGTCCTGCCGGCAGGAGGCCCCCGGGTCGACCCAGGACACGTTGGAGAGGTTACATCTCCAATCTGGTCCGGGAACGCCTTGGGGTCCTGCCGGAGGAGCTGGTTGAGGTGGCCGGGGAGAGGACGGTCTGGAGCTCCCTAGTTGGGATGCTGCCCCCGCGACCCGGACCCGGATGAGCGGAGGAAGACAACAACAACAACGAATAGTTTGCATGTACAAGACTTTTGTGAGAAGTTTTGTATATGACTGGATTATATGGGGATGTAATATGAAACAGATTGTAAGACTCATATAAAATTGTTTTTATGCAATTTAGTACCAAAGTGTCTTAATTTTGTTTCCACTTTGTTCTCTCTCATTTTTTCCCACACTTTCTAAAACTTGGAAACTACAATAAAAAGCAAGTGAGAGGAATTTAAGAAGGGTTTCTGACCTGCAAAACCTTTGCAACTATCTTAAGAGAAAATTTCTCACAGATTTTTTGAGCATATTCAAAATTCTAGCAGCTTTGTAACAAGGATTTGCTACTTATGTGCACAAATCGAGAACCTTCGCAAACATTTTAAGACATTTTGGAAACTCCCCCAAGAAAATACCGTTTACCAGCAGTGGGAGCCCAGTAAGAAGCTGGTTTTAGTTAATCATTAACAGCTTATAGTAGAATAGAAAATATGAAAATGAGTGCGTTTGTTTGTGCAGAAGTTTTATATATGTGGCAGCCTCAGGTGGAAACCATCAGATAATTCCCAATGTTCTCACCTGTCATAAATAATGTCATTTTACATTGTATTTAGTCACTAATCCCCCCACCCCCCCGCGCGCTTCCTGTCCGGCTGTGAAGTGATAAGAATTGATGTCTGAATGCCGAAGACAAGCCTTACAGTTTTACTCTCACAGATGGAGCTTCCATGCCTGATACCAAAACTTTATTAGAAACATTTTTAGTTGTTTTAATTCCCAACGGACATTGAGACAGAAGTAAAGGGGGGGAGGGGTTGATAAAAAACACGGGAGCTGCGGATATGCAGGCAGACCGAGGCACCACCCACAGGCAGAATAAAGTGGCAGGTGGAGGGGTAGGCAAAGACGTTGTAGCACCATGAGTCGTCCCAGGAGAGGGGAGGAGTCCAAGACCCCACCTGACATATACAGTCACACGCAAACACATATGACCTAAAGACTTACAAGAATGTACGTCAAACACACACTCACGCTCCCCATACACATCCTTCTCACTTTGGTCCAGGTACTGATGCACAGAGGGCACAACTATTCCCCGACACCAAAACAAGCCTTGTTCTGCTGGGGTAATGATGAGCAGGTACTCCCGCCCAACGCAGGAGATCTAATTTGTCATTAGTCACCAATTTGTCAAAGTGTTTCATTCTTTACTCAGAAATGAAACTAAAGCTTCCAGATCTCCCAAACAACATCAGTGGATCTTACCGTTGTGTCTCAACACCACAGCTAGGTAGTCCTGCGCCTTGGAGCTCACGTACATGAGAATGGCCGGTGCGCTGGATGTGCTGAAGCTGAAGGCCACCTCCTCCTTTGTTAAATTAACTTCATTTTGCATCAGTTGTTGTGGCAATGCTTTTGAGTCCTTACTGGCTCCTGGAACTGGTTCAGGCATGAAGTTGTACTTGACCATTGTTCCGGCCTCAAAGAAACCCCCAACATCTGGAAAAACATGAAAATTAACCATGTGTGATACAATCCAATGCAAATTCAACCAGTAAATCTTTGTACATGCTTAGAAACCGTGGCACAAAAAGTCTAAAGAGAAAGGCACCTTTCATCATTACCGAACCGTGGGGAGCCACTCACAAACTCATGCACGCAAAGACACAACGAGGTAAACATAATATTTAGCCTGAGGGGAATGAGCATCAATAGGAGTGTGTTGAGAAGGTGCAGTAAAGTGGGTGTTAAATTGCTGCTCTCCAGCATCTGAAACCAAACAATAAACCTTTTAACAGTACATTAACAAAGAATACTGCATATTTCAGCCATTCCAAGGGTGCTTTTTGATTCTCGTAATCAAATGTTGAAAAGAAGAAACCTCATTTCCAACCTATAACATACACCAGTGATGCTGCACCTGTGTTTCTGCAGAAAAAGTGCAGAAAATTAAAAAGAACAACTGCATTATTTCAGAGATTTGTGTGTTTTTCTGTAACTATGCCTTGACATGTTTGCCTTAGCTTTTATAAACGGTAGAATTGCAGCCGAACACATTTATAAAAATTTTAGAAAGCTTCACTGCACGCCTGTCTCCCACCAGACCCGAGCTGATAAATTCTTCATGGTACATTACTTAAATTTAATAGGAGCCTTATTAATAGAAAATGGGCAAGTTCTCCGGCTGCTCCTCTTTCTTTGCAGACAGAACCTTGCCTGTATTTAGATCATCACAAGTCAGGAGAAAAGCATTTCATCGACTGCTTTTGAGTGACGAAGATTTCAAAGAGCTCTACTTGTAAGTTTGTTTTCTAAGGAGGGGTCTTCCGTTCACAGCCTCTTCATTGAACTCAACATGGACTTTTCAGTGTCTTGTCTCCAGAATGAAGCGATGATTGCTTTAGAAAGCGTGCAGCATTTCCATCTGAGTAGCATCTTTTCCTACAGACTCAACAAAGCACAAGGCGCTTTTGTAAATCTTTCCTCTCCAAAAAAGAAAACCCATCCCTGATTAAAAAAATCTTTTGAATTTGTCATGAGCAACACTATATTCCTATATATTTACTGTCCAGTCCTCACACTCACTACTTACCTACGACCTATGAACCATCCAGGCATAAAAGACTCCTAAACTCCAGGGATGAAATAGAATTTAGAGATCATTGCCATTTAAATTTATTTCAGATGAATTTGAGAACAAATGCTAACAATAAAACTGTTTGAGACAAACAGAAAGGTTGTATTTTTTAATATATTTGCTGAGACCTGCCCTAAAGATGAACTAAACCAGTAATTGTTGGCGACAACTGCAAATGATGGTCATGAGTTCTGAGGGGTTCTCAGATGTGGGAATCATGGAGGCTGGCACTCATCTTGCTAGAATTTAGAAAACGTAAAAAAAATTCTGCAGCAAATTTTTTTTCAAAAGAGTCTCCATGTCTGGGAGCCTTTGGTTTGTGTGAGTACGAAAGTGCGAGAGGTGGATTCAAAATAATAAATAAATATGGACCAATAATTTGAATAGCTGTTAAAATGTTTCAGGAATTTGATCACATACCTTATATGATAAATACAACTATAAAAATGGTTGCAAAAGTATCATTTGCACAAATTCTGTGCAATTCCAACTGAAAACATACATATTTTCTTGCAGTTTTGCATCTCCACATGGTTGCCCAGCGAGGCAATGGCTTCATGGATGGAGCATCTTTCAGGTCCAGAAGCCATTTATCCGTTTATGTGGGGTTTTTTCAGCCAGGTACTTCCTCTGTACCTAACTGTCCACTTTCCTCATTTTTTTTTAGCAAAAATTGCACAATTTGATGTTCTGTTCAGGACCAAGGACAGACAGGGAGCTGAAAAGCAGCCAAAGTCCAAACAAAACTTTGAAATCTGAAGAACAATTGATCAAACCCACCTCAAAAGAGTCTAACCGAAATAAGAATGAAAAAAAGGTCAATGTTTCTCATTTAAATCTTTTACAGATCACTCTTATCATGCTAATATTAAATTATATAACTGCAGTTATTTGTTTGATCAGAACATAGAGCGTTTTTTCTGATGGTTTGAGACATTCACGTGTTTATTTTCATCACATTTGCAGCGGCTCTAGTATGAATGAAGACCTCGTAGGTCATTCTCTGTGGGAAAAGAGCTCTAGCACCCCTGTTTCAGGAAATAGAAGTTAATCGGAGGAGTGGGGGCACAAAACAGGAGGATTGGGGGACTTGCATAATAATATTCATGATATACAAGCATTTTGCCTTTGATTGGCTAACAGCAACACGACTGTTCTACTGCCTGTGTTCGCTCTGCAACATTGATGTCCTCACAAATAACAAGCCTGAAGGAGTTCTGTCACTAATGCTAACAGTTAGCTTCTACTAGCCGAGATGTGCTCTGCTGTTTCCTGGATGCTAAACCAACAACAGGCTCCCCCGTCGTGAGCCAAGATGGGTGAGTCCATGAATGCAGAGTGACGGCATGATGTAGATCACGCGTTTCCCCGTCTGTTTTCTTTTGGCGGCCATTTTGACATTCAGCATTTGAAACTCAGAGTGACTGATCGTATTTAAAAATTAACAAGTACAAAAGGTTCCCCAGTGAACCTACTCTTTAAAAATCCAATCAGTCCAAATGATCAGCCTTTTGTAAAGACTCACGCCCAACCCGCCTCCGTCGTTGGTCCGCTGGGAGAAAACCAAAACACACTCGCAGCTTCAGAAACAGCAAGGATGAGAAACTATGTATTTTCACGACAGAGTGCGAATCTTCCAAAGATAAATCTGTCCAAGTCCATTCAGCTAATATGAACGTGCGATGTGAGTGCATGAGTGTTTCATTTACGTCTGTGCATGCGACCCTCAAGGGCAGAGAAGCCGAAGAATGAGAGTATATGATAACGACACTGGAGGGTCCTCTGAGCAGCGTGTAAATATGGAGACAATGGAAAGGAACGATGCAATTATACCTGACTTCATGCATTTTTCACTCGTTGGGAGTAAAAGGGGAAAAAATACAATAGATTAAAGAGGGAGAAGGAGAGGAAAGACACAAAAAAGAGAGACGGACAGAAATAATACAGAGATATGAGCACAGAGGGAAAAACAAGAGTTTTAATGTTCTGCACAAAACAAACACAAGGGTGTGCTCTTTGCCTTTTTCTTGACTCCCTCCATCCAGCCTCCACATGCACACAAACGCATCACTCTCTCACAGACAGCACCTAATCTCCTTTCTTTAAATCTTGAAATACTTGATTGGTTCTGACAGAATTCAGAGGAGGTCTTTCCGTGTCTTATGCCAGCATATCACACAAACACACACACACACTGCTTTTCTGTCATCTTGTCACCCCCGCTGCCATGAGTGCTGAGGGAAGAAATAAAATAAAAAAAACACCATTCAACTTTAGGAAACAAATTAATTCACGTGTTGGAGATCAAGTCTCTGACTGGGAGCTTGCAGAACGCCTCTGACAACGGCGCTGCTCCTCTCCCCCAGAGAATTTTATGAAAACTTGTTCTGGGAAGTCAAACTTTAATAGAGTATCTAATGAATCCCAATGAAACAAACACAATGTTTTAGCAATATGCAATAGAGCAGAGTGGGAGTGTGATGTTTTCTATCTGTGATCTTCCCAAAAAATAATAAAAGAAAAGAAAAACAAACCCAGAGCTTTCCACTTGTCGCTGAAATCATTTTTACTTTATAAACATGTTCTGACCTTTTTTTTAAGTTTGATTCCCTGCTTATGCAAAAAATCAGCATTCAGCTAGCGCACCGTGAAGTCTGGATAGAATTGGTGTGTAAGCACTATATCGCTCTCAATCGATGCTTTTTATCACAAGTCCAAATGCTTTGAACACAGACGGCTGCAAACTGAAGAGGAAGTGAGGGCAATCAGAAAAAAGGCATTGAAACCACTCCAGAAGTAATCTATTGCTTACAATTTTGTTGATTGAAAAGAGTTAAATGATAAGATGCAAAGTGTTTAAAGTAGCACTAAATAGTTTTTTAAACTTTAAGCTAGAGCTTTAACGTTGATCTCAGTGATTTATGAGTTAGAAACTTGACCAGTTTCCTATTTGTCACCTCTCTGCAGCCCTCTACTGACCAAAACCCACACTTGATAGTTTTGTGGAGTGGGGTAGGTGTCCTAGAGGGGGAGCTCTTTACCTGCTTTACGACTGTTAACTATTGTGCTAGTGGTTAGCATCTTTAGTTCACAGATCAAAAAAAGCACAAGAAGAAGAAAAATATGAAGTTTGTTTTTCTGGTGGAGCATGGAAGAAAAAGTGAAGGAGTAACCTATTTGGAGATGAAGCAAAGAGCTAAAAAACCAGAGTGATCATCAGCACGGCCTACACTTGTTTGAGGAAGCTAAAGAAGGCTACAAACTCACCGACTGATGGTGACCTGGCTTTGTTGCTCCTGGACTTGTGAATAACATTTGTTGTCCAACAGTGTGGATCTTAGTTTGTTTTAGTATCAGTTGGCTCATGCTAGTGTTAGCTCATTGCTAGCGCTAGCTAACAGTTGTAATTCCACTTTAGATCAGTAGGGCAGAGCAGCAGGAAACTGCTTAGTGTTACTTTAAAGCTCTTATTCACTCGTCTTTTCAACACATTTGCATTGGTCTCTAGTGTAAAAGATGACTTGTGAGTCTTTGTTTCAGGAACTAGAAGTTATCTGGAGGAGTGGGGGCAGTATTCCGAGTTTTACTCATTATTATTCATGATATTCAGACATCTCACATCTGATCGGCCAACAGCAGTGTGATTCCACTGCTGACTCCATTTGCTCAGCAAAACTGATGTTTTATCTCCAATAATAACACAAACCTGGATGAGCTATGCCATGTTGTGGAGTTGCTAAGCTTATTATTGCTGAGAAGCTCACTTCTCTTCCTCATAGCTGCAAAAACCAACAAAAGTCTTCCCTTTTTGTAGTTTGACAAAGAAAATTCTGATTTTGGAGCAAAAGGTGAAACAAAGCTTCCATAAAATGAGCTTGAATCTCACATTAGGAAAATCTAACTTGTTTTTAAATAAAGGCTTCTGAAGAGGAGGAGCATAAAAAAGGGGGTCTCACCTGCGGTGCAGAACGGGCCGTTGAAGGCAGTGGTGGTACAGTCGCATAAATATCCATTATACCTCTCCACACACTTCCCTCCGTTCCTGCAGTACATCCCAAAACTGGTGCAGTGGCCCTGGCAGCCAGGCTTGACCCCTGGCGTGACCTTGGCCCTTTCCTCCAGGTCGAGGGTGACGCCGTTCATTCGCAGCGCTCTGATGCAACCCAGAAAACCTCTCTGACCCCCAGCAGCACCTGAGGAGCGCCAAAAACATGGATTAGGAGATTTAAAGTTTGGAGAAAAAAGGGTTCAGGGGTGCAGAAGTGATTCAGAACACAAGAGTCTGTGTTTTAATCAGTTTTGGAAACGTTAATATCCTAATGCCCCGAGGAAGCCGCTGATGTTATGCTAATCGTTCAGGCTGCAACACCGTTCTTGAAACAACCTTCAACTCGTTTGATTTCTTCGCTAATTAGAGCAGCCTAATGAACACGGCTTTCTTAATGAACATTTTGCAACAAATACACATACTAATGGATGCACGTAAGCTACATACAACAAACAAACACATTTAAAGCACGCCACACACAAAGCACCTGATTTCAATGAGTCAATATAAACATTAATGCTGAGCCTCGGGGTGCCGACAGCCATTTTTCCAAAGTGCTCCCATTGTCATTCGGGCCTTGCACCATTATAGTCCAACTACCCATTAACTCTGACAAGGTAGGGGCGTTAAATAGATGAATTTGCACCTTAAATGGCTAAAGCAATAAACACACTCATAAACGCACACCTACAGGTATGAATTTGAATACTTTCAGACGTGCAAATATGCACACACGTTTAACAAAAAGCCAAGGGGAATTTTAGTCATTAAAACTTCTAAATGGGATCCGTTGGATTTAAGGAAAGGGCTCATTCAAGAACATACTCTTGTTCTGTTTTTTTATACTTAAAAATGAAGCAGGAAGAGTTAAACAGGAGCAACACAATAACACCTACTCACACCAACCCTCTCCAGTCAATGCATTAGTCACAAATAAGGATGCAGGTGGGTTTTCACCTGCTTTCTCCACTTCCTGGTCTCATAAAGAATTAGACTCAGCAGACCTCTTAATTAATCTATTTTGTAGCGCTGATTGGCTGGAGGTTTCTGCCACCTGTTTACCCAGGGCTAAATCAGTCTCTGATTAAACAGACAGCAGGCTCCGAAGCCTACAGAGACCCAGGCAGGCGCGTGTACACATCAACACATACTGATGCACAGGTGCACACTGCTTCCCCATAACCCAGAGATGGAGCTTGATGGAGAGTGACTAAAGTTTGGAAGTCACAAACATCTACAGGAAATGTTGAAAATTATATTAAAGGGAATATTTTAAGCAGCGTTAGCAAGCAGCTGTAATTTTAATGATCAAACTTGTGAAACACCTTCAGTCATTTATCACATCAAAAACAAAGTTTTAAAAACTGAGTTCAATGAAAAAACTTTGGTTTGAAACCAGGAAACCAGAGCTTGGTGCTCTATGTTTTCTGTCTAACTCATGCCAGGATATTTGCAGCTTTTTCGGATGATTAGTAAAAATTTAAGGCTGCATATGTTCTGAGAAATACTTTTGAAAATCCTCCAAATTGTCTGAAACATTTAATTAAAACATTCAATGATTCAGGAGTGGCCCCCATAAATACCAGAGTAAAAGAGCTGATGAAAAGCTCAAACGTTCCTTTTTGCTGCTACAGTGCCACTTAATCTAGTGCATGAAGAAACTTTGAACGAATCAGTGAAAATACTTGAAAATGTCTTCAAAAGCGAGGTATTCTGGATGGATAATTCACAGCTTTGTTGCTTTTAACAAAGTAGAATGTGTGTGATCTCAAAACTTTCTGTGCTGTAAAGCATATTCAGACAAAAGAGCATGTTTCCACCAGGAACATTTTAGATGTGACACACAGTAAGCCTGATCACTGGAGGATGTTCATTTAACAAAAAAAGTGTTTAATTACTTTATAATTTCTCCTACTAACTCTTTTAATATGATTTTACTTTGATCAGGTGAGTTAAACAACATTTATATTAATTGAAGACTGTATCATTATGTTAGCATAGCTAGTGCTTATTAGCATCCGGAAGCTACTGTATGGATAAAAGTCTATTTGCTGCTGCTTTTGGTTACAATTGCACTTATCAGTAGCTAGCAAAATAGAAAAAAAGACCTAAGTGTAACTGCAGCTGTAAAGCATGGTGATAAATTAATCATGGTTTGGGCCTTTGTGCTCTTTTGCGGATTGAATAGGTTTATTAAATTTTTTGATGGTTATAAAAAATTGTGCTTAAGAAAAATAATGAAAATTAGCTTGAAAATGAAATACAACTAAATATATATATGTGTATATATATATATATATATATACACACACATATATATATATATATATATATACACATACATATATATATATATATGTGTATATATATACACACACACACACACACACACACACATATATATATATATATATATATATATATATATATATATATATATATATATATATATATATATATATATATATATATAGATGTATATGTATGTCTGTTGGCCACAAGCCGTAATCACAGACGTAGGGAGAAGGGCTTGAGGTGTGGTACGTTTTTTTCCCACCTCTATAGGAAGCAAAGCCAGAATTTTGCTTTAAAACACTTTTTCTAGTACCACTGGCTGAGCTGAATAAATGTTACCTACTGTCTTGGCAGGTGAGAGATGCTGGTTTTCCTGCGACAGGTATCACACACATGCAATGAGCAGCCACATGCAAGAGTCCAATCCATGAAGACAGAAGCAAGAAAAACAACAAAAGGTAATGCACAAAACAACCAGAATATGAAAGAAATCAGCAAAAATAAGGGGCAAAAGCAACGTACACATGAAGGTGAGAATTAATTAAGAAGTAAAAACCCAGATGGTAACATAAAACTAATGCAGCATGGTGAGATGTTTTCTGCATGTATGAAGTGAATCAGAGAGTTAAAAGTTAACAGTGTGAAGAAAACGGCGACAGGCTGACGGTGCAGCATTTACTTTGAAAGCCATTAGAGCAAATGAGCCACCGTGCGGTAAACACTAAAGCAATCAAACGCTTGACAAGGAGCCTATTGATTAAGAGGAAGAGAAGGAGATGATACAGAGAAAAACATACGACGGGGGTGGACAAAATAAAGCCTCATACTTTCATGTCTTTGTACAATAAATCATTTGATACCTTCAAGGGATAGTTCAAACAAAGAAAAGCTACATTCTTTTTGCTCTTGATATTTTTCTTTCATCTTTAAAAAGTAAAATGAATAAAAACCACAGTGGTGCTAAATGCTTCCTTTCAAGGTACAAAGTAGTAAATCTTGTTGCTTGCAGGGCATTCTCTGCTCTTTCCAAATCTCACAATCAAACACAAAACGATCTCTATCTAGAGGTCAAACGTGGACCCCTTCCTGTGAGCGTTTGGGTCACTTCCTGTGCTGTAACTTCTCAAGGCAACGCTCCGCTCAGGATTAAGCAGAGATTAGAGAGCGGATCTGAGAAGGGTGCCGTCACCTCTGTGGTCGTGGTTACACACAATCCTTCGCTTGCTTACTCTGAAAAAAAAAAACATCAGACGGAATAGTGAACCCTGACATTCAACCGCCAGGATAAACACAGACGAGTGAAGGAAGGGCTAAAGCTCCACATTCGGGAAGTTAATACATTCCTGGTTTTAAATCCACAAGTTCCACAAAGACAAATCTTCTCCTCGCCTCATTCCGTTGCTTTCATTTCGCACAAATACACTGTGAGAAGTTCGCGATAAGGTGAACATGTTCCAATCATCCAAAGTCACGAGAGGACGGGGTTATATAACAAACCCGGATCAGGGGTGTCGGTAGAGCTATCACACTGGGATGGCTGATTGGAATTTGCAACAATCTCTTTTGGGCAGAACGTATTCCGAGATAGCAGGAAGACCGCGGCTGGCCTCAGCACTTTCTCAGCTATCCGCAAATCCCCGAAACTCTTTTAGCCCTGGAGTTTGGACCGCTGAGCACCAACAGCTCAGCACAAAGGAAAAATGAACAAGAAGTCAAATCATAAGGAAGGAAGCACTTAGAAATTATGTCCTTTAATCTTGAGATCAGCTCGGGGCGGTGTGCAGGCTATGGTCAAGACGACGGCTAACTTTGATGCAATCTAAAGACACGGTGCCTCTGATAACTGGTGTTAATCGACAGGAAATTAAATGCTGATTAAAGTATTAAAGTCTATAAGAAAAATAGAAACTAAAAGGAAGTTAGTTTAAAATGTATTTGAACTTTGATCACTTATATGTGTGACTGTCCAAGAATGTCACCATATGTGCAAACCATTAAATAAAAGACCTCCGTGTGTGTGTGTGTGTGTGTGGGGGCATTAACTTAATTAGCAGTGGCTGTCGCTAAGCTTGACAGAAGCCTCTTAAAGCTTGCACATCTTCAATCATAAACAATCCCATTGTGGTTGTCTGGATTTGAGGGCAGAATTATTAAGTTTGCTTTCCACACATGGTTTTTGGTGTGTGTGTGTGTGTGTGTGTGTGTGTGTGTGTGTGTGTGTGTGTGTGGATCGTACCCACGTAGAGCTGACTGAACAGCTCTAGCCGCGTGTGTCCTTGTGCAGGAGCGAGGTGAGACGTCCGATGAGTTTGGTCCAGCTGGAGGACCGCTTCCTTGATGTTCCGCTCAGCCATGACCCGATGCCACTGGTCATCATTGAGGGGCGTGGCTGAATGCACCGTTAACTCCACAGGTCCATTTCCAACGTCAAATGAGAAGGAGACCACCTTAGGAGCTACAGAAAGAGGAAAATCAGATGTTACGTCTGCATTCAAAGGCAATTTACACACGTCACAGGTTTGTGTTAAACTGAATATCCTCCCTCACCCATCTAAGAAACAACGGGTCTGCATCAGCCCAAAATGCAGTGCACAGTGAACACATTCATAGGCCTGCCAAGCCTGTGGGTGGCAGTAGTTCCCCAAATTTTCCAGCCTAGAGTTCTAGACCAAATTCTTGCTTTGCAAAGTTTGGTCTAGGAATGCTCCATTGCAACCTCCGCAGCCCCTAGCAGCATTCTGGTGGGCCAACCACAACGCTCTATCAGCTTTGTGGGCAAATCAAGCCACTCTACTGGTTTGGCGGGTTAGGGTTAGGACGGAGTGGAACAAGATGGCAACAGCTCCTTTAAAACAGCCTTTACATCAATTCCATTGCAGTGAGTACATCACGTTGTTGGTTGTCCAGTAGCAAGCGGAGATCGTCATTTGAAAGACAACGGTAGAAACCACCCCACGATCTAGAACCGTCAATGTCTTTGGTATGTTTAACGAAAGACTTTCCTTGGACGTGGAATAACTAGGTGGGGGACATTAAACATCGCCTTTCGCCTGCGGTCTTCTACATAAAGCAGTAATTGAGCTTGCAAAAACATTAAAGTGAGAATAAACACAGGGCGCACATTTGATGTCACAGACAGTGACATTACAAAACCTAAAACTATTTAAGTCCACAAACAAATACTGACAACGGAGAACACGCAAACCTCCACTTTGATCAAAGTATTTGAAAGAAACATTTTTTGTGCCATTTATCTTCACTTTCATGTGGAAAGCAGGACGAGCCGTAGAAAAAATCTACATGTTTTGGGATAACTGGCTACATACAGTACATTGTGTAACAGAATGAAATGACTGTTTTCCACCTAAAAGTCATTTCCCCCCTCTCCTCAGCAAGAACTAATCTGCATGAGATATTGTTCAAGGTCTCATGCATCTGCTTCTAAACTGTTTTCCTTTACAGCCCAAGAGAAGAAAGAAGAACTCTTTCTATTTTTAATAAAGCTAATCAAACAAAGTGTTAGTCAATAATAAGATGTTGGCCAATCTGTGAAATGACAATGTTATGATTAGTAAGTTTTAATAAGTAATATGACTTTAGTCTAGGTGCACTAGACATCCTGATTACACGTAATGTAAACACGACACATTGCTTTTACTCATCTAATTGGAACCTGACTTTCTGAAGCGTGGCACAGTCTCTGTGGTGTTTATAAATCTGTCCAACTTTGATTCGACCGTAAATCAAAACATCCAGATTAATAAAACCAGTTCCCACGCCATCTTAGTTCAGTTCACCGCATGCTAAGAGGAGTATCGGACCGGCCACCCGGACTTCCTTTTTAAGCAAAGAACCAACAAGCTGGATAAAATCTGTTGCATTTTACCAACCAAGCAACGGTTCCTTTCAGAATAAAAGCTGAATTCACTGACCCCCCGGGTCCATCTGACGCTGTCAACCAACTGTCGCTTTTTACCTGGAGACAATCCAAAGACTAGTCTGTCATACTGCTGACACTGTTTCATCGGCTCCGGTACCGAAAGGTGGGTCCGAGGACCTGGCATTCTGGATCTGTACAGAGGTCTCATCCAGAAGGGTATGTGTGGAGCGACAACATGGCGTCTTATGTGTTTATGAAACTCCGATCATAGCTTAAGAGCAAAACATCACTCAGACTTGCTTCTCCGGATATGAGAGTTCTGATGACATCACTCACACATACACCATTCATCTCACGTCTCATTCACACTAAGATCCATCCATTCACTTAGAACTTAGAGTTAGTCTTGTTTAAAATTGTTTAGAAATAAATCTTCTTAAACGTTTTAACGGTGACTCTCTTCTGTTGTCTCTCAGTTAATACGAAGTTGTTACATAATCCCTGCAATGAAAAGTTCCAATCTTCTGGTTAAAAGTACCCAAAGATCCATAAGATTGATTTCATATTTACTATGGAATCTCATGTCTTATGGTTCATTAAATAGATGCAAATTAAACCCTTACAAGTGTTGATTTTGTTGAAGAAATATTTTAATTTTTCTTTTCATGACGAATACATTTTTGTGAATGGAAAAGAAACAAAACCTTAAATTTGTACTTCTATTAAAGATTAAAAAATGGCGGACCTTGAGTGACGTTTTCGTTGACGGATAAAAGATGAAAACAAAAACTCAACCAGAAAACAGAAAAGATGAGAATGGAAAAAAGTTAACGATCAGCAAATGGAACCGTGGACGAGCTACCAGTAAAAGCTGAAAAATGCATGCCTAAAAGGAGAAAATGTCCGCGGCTGGGAAGAAAAAACATTAAATGTGACGATCTGAAATGTATTTGCTTGGCGAGTACGCATCCGGGGTTTCCTCTGGTGATAAAAGTGTTACGGTCGTAGCGGCGAGCAGAGTGAGCCGAACCAAACCAAACCGGAACGGCACGCACGTTTGGTTGTTTAATCATTTTCATGGTGCTGCTATGACCGATAGGATCAGCGTTCGGTTTGGTAGCAAAGTTTTTGTGAGAACAAAAACATTCATGGCCACTAGTTATTTTTGTTTACTTCCTCGCATTATTAGAGTTACACCTTTAAATGTTTTGATGGTATGATGTCATTTCCTGTTATGTTTACAAATAGTACTGCACAATATACTTATTTGTTATTTCATGAATAATAAGAGGCACAATTACAAAGTAGGACTAGTTAACATTTCCTCTAGAGAAGTAGAACATTATTAGATCAGATTAAAAATGTATTTTTTTGTCGACTAAAATAAATGTAAACTGGACGAGCAAATTGTGACTAAAATAAAAAATTATTTTAGTCAAAAAACTAAAACTGAATTAAAGTTTTTGTCCAAATCAACACTGGTGTGTAAAGGGTCTAATCTAACAGCTTTTAAGTTTTCCCTTTCAGTTCCTGCTGTAGCAACAATTAAATAGCTTATTTTTGATGCTTGTTAAATGATTTTCCTTTCAGAGGATAATTAATATGAAATTTCCCCACACATTTGGAATATTGCTCTGATGCATTCCTTTGCATTTGGGTGCCATGTTGTTGCCACTGGCACCAGTGTGCTGCAGCCAAACTGATGATGCATGGCTCCACATTTAACTGGTTCATTATGGCTTCATTTGCCTCAGTATTTCAGTGGATTATTTTATGTTGTAGTCAATAGGGAAATAAGCTTTCTTCTTTTGTTTGGTCTAGTCAATATGTCAGGCCCTTTCCTCCTTTTCATATCCCTTTCTTCTAATGGTGTCTTTTATCAAGCAGCCATTCTTCTAGGCTTTGACCTTGCTTCGACTCTACAGAAAGTTTCGCGTCTTGATTTTTGCGTTTCTTCTGTTTACTCGTGTTACTCTGACTTTGTGTTTTCTTTCTGTGCAGCTTTCTTCTTCATTTAACCATCAGATTTGCAATGTGAGTGTTTTTGTTTATAGGCATGACTAGATGTTTATTTTTGTGTCTTTGGCATCTCTCCTCTCATCTTAAAGGCTGCTCCAGTTTTAATATTGGGTAGTTGTTGAGACAATATTTTGTGTTTATATTTGTCCAAAGTGCAGCCTGGGGGCCATTAATGACCCTCAGAAAGAATTTGTGCAGGCCCCAGTTGATTTCTAGAATAGTAGATTCGCGTCTTTCCAGCAGCGCTTCATAGACAGAAACATTTCAATGGTAAGAATGTTACTGATATTTTGGGCGGTATCTTCAGAGAGAGGCGCAGCATCAGTTCACATTCTCGATCACTGTTGTTCAGAGGTGGGAGGGAGTTCTAGGGTGGAGGATGCATTGAGTGTTTCTCAATGTCAAGGCGCCTGGCCTTGTGAGGTGATGTCTTGCGAGGCCAGGTGCCTTGCTTACGAGGACACTGTCTTTTCTTGGTCGAAGAAAACTGTTAAATGGAACAGACTTGAAACACGTGACAGCGGCTTCCACGGCGGTCACATAACGTCACGTGACATGGGAGATAACATTATACTTTATACGTATTATGCATCCATCCATCCATCCATTTTCATCCGCTTTTCCGGAGTTGGGTCGTGGGGGCAGCAGCCCAAGTCGATAGGCCCAGACTTCCCTCTCCCCAGCCACTCGGGCCAGCTCCTCTGGGGAAATCCCAAGGCGTTCCCTGACCAGGTGAGAGACATAGTCCCTCCAACGTGTCCTGGGTCTACCTTTAGGCCTCCTCCCGGTTGGATGTGCCCAGAAAACCTCACCAGGGAGGCATCCAGACCAGATGCCTGAGCCACCTCAACTGGCTCCTCTCGATGTAGAGTCAATATAAATATATAACGAGCCTTTCACTTTTTAAATTGTGTAGATATTTATTTAACTAAATATATGAGCGAGTTACTACCTGCTAGCCACCGAAGCTGCAACTACTAAGCAACTAACCAACCATAGATAACTTCTTTTGATCTAAAAAACATAACCAGATGTAGCTGGCGGCTTCTGATCCACCATCCTTTTGAAATTACCGCGGTGTATTCTGGGTAATTTTTGACCAAGGCTAGGCTACAAGGCACCTCTCGTGTATCCTTGCTCAGCTAGCTAAACGGCTACTTTAGTACATTGGAACACGTCTTGGCGGTTCCTGATGACATATCTCCTAGGCAACCGGGGCGGGGCCAAGACATCAAGGCAAAGTTCCTTAGCATTGAGAAACATCCATTGACTCCTAGACAGTCGCATGGCTAGCATTCTTTCCACAACGTTGCTGTGTTTTGCTGTATGGTGTCAAATTACAAATGCCAGTGCAGTTTTTGTGTTTAAGACAACCCAGCAGGCTCACTAATGATTGGCTCTTTAACCAGGAAGTAGGGAGGTATTCAGGACCAATTGTAAACAAAGATTACATCCCTCTTCTGCTGTTTATGAGAAAACCTTGCAACCCCCATTGCTGGCTGAGAAGGAAATGTGATTCAGTGTAACCCTTTCAACATAATAGAAACAAACTATTA